ATCTTGACTGCTTCGTACGTCACGATAATCGAATCGTCTGATTTCGTTTTAAAACATCAATGTCATGTTATATTAAAATTAAAACATCATTTACAAAAGGATTTTAATCGAAAGTAAGTATGAATACGGCATAAGTACACTTAATTCAGATGCTTCAATTTAATGTCTAAACCCTACCTACCTATTGCAGTTTATTGATTTATCGATCGTTGATAACGAGTGACTCTGGGTAATTGATAAATCGCGACATTTACCCAGAGTGAAGCAACATTCTGGCCCTGCAAGCTCAGTGATTGCATTGTGATGAGTTGGGCTTGGGATCACCTTTTCAGAACGTGTTTTGTTGTGCAGAAATAGTAAGAACAAATAACGTCACGGTATATTTTAGTAAGGCTAGTCATGATTGTAATTGCGTCCTACACAACGCTCCCAATTCTGAGAACTAGGACGAGCCGTACACGCTGCGGCGCGGCGCCGGACAGATGGCGCGCAGCATCGGATCTCTACCAACACCAAGCACCGAAATATTGGACTATTCCAGAGTCGGTTAAACTCTGTATGTGTTTATTAAAAGGAAATATTCCTCTGATTATTTTTTTGCATGGCTTCTAAAAAGTTTGTGAGCATCGAAGCGGTTTTATCATTAGCCTATCGATCTCAATAACCGCGACAGTGATGGCTTTAGATCGGCGCCTGGTCATATCTATTACTTACCAATAATAGAAAAAAGTAAAATGTACAGGTTGCTGTATGGCACGAGGGCACGACGCGGCTACAGTTGTAATTCAATTAACCTATTGAAATGGACTAATAAAACTGCTATACACGTAGTTTTAATTGAACGAGCGGCCGAAGCCGATTGAGTAATTTACTTGTGAACAGTAACCCGGTATCCCCATTGTGCAACTGTATGACACAGGAGAGACCCAGTGCTCAATGGTACCTATACAAGTATACATAATTACACACCCCAAGTGCCTGGTGTTGTTGGATTATTGTGCATTTAGTAATGATCGCTCAAGCCATAATATTAAATCAAGGAAAATTGGACGCTTTACTGCAGTATTCTGTGACAGTAACCGGTATCCTTATGTTAATCTTAGCTTATTGGTGTTTGGGTCTACTGCACACACTGCAAAGGGATTAGTAACTGAGAGGGAGCGACATGTAGGTATGCAGTGCGCGCTGGCGCATTCCTCGTCGCAAATTAGCGCGGCGGCGGCGCCTCAGATAACCTATCTCAATAGAGCGCCCTACGTATGGTATTCCAGGAGCTGGCGCGGCGCCAACTCGCCGCTATATTTATAACGCACAAACTCCACGGAATTCCGAAAAACGCTTTTGACTATACGCGGCTGTAGCGCGTTTGTATACACTCGACAAATGGATAACTCTGATATTTGTTTTATATTACTCAAACGGCAAATGAGGTTACAAACACATTCACAGCACGTTCGATGGAATTTAATGGGAAGCTGTTACAGTGATAACGTGTAACTCGCGTAGGTATATGTTTTCATAATCGATTTTCAAAGAAAAACAGATGGATAACAAAGTGATCCTATAAGTATTCTGTTTTTCGTGTTAAAGGTACGGACCCAAAAAAAAAACCGATTAGTCCAAGTTTTCCAACTTCTGCAACCAAACTCCGCCATGTCAATTTTGTTCTAGACTTAACTCAAATTAGGCTGCCATTGAATTTGTAAAAACATTAATTTTATCATACGAATCTATTCGTCCAATAGGTGATCAAATCCTAATACTGTTTCGATACCACCTAGGACCAGTTGGAAAGTTATATCCTTTCAATGAATTAATTATACTTTGATAATCTGAAGATCGACCCCAAGATCTACAGTTCTACAGTAGCACTCAACTACTCCGCAATAAGGCTCTCAGATGTGCGAAGCAGTTTCTGTTAGCTTGCGTTAAACTGTCCGGTTCTATCAGGGAAATATGTAATAATATGAAACCGTAGACCGTTGGTATAAGTAGAGCTAATGAGACACGTGCCAGGCGGCCGGCCGCACAGCTGCTCCGCTGCACTCGCTGACCTCAATGGGTCACAGATGCAGGCGGCTCGTGCCACACCCACATACTAAACTCTTTACTTTATCCTGACCTGAGCAATCACATAGGGTCTTTGTATTTATGAGTGAACTTTATCGCTTGGAGTATGTATATCACTCAGTCTTCGTCATGCTCCGCAAAAGTGATGACTCTTAAAGATCATTAATTTCCTTATGTTATGTCGTGTAATTTTCCGATTATTCAAATTAGTTTACTTAGTTTTTCGGAACGGAGATAAATCACACGCTATTGAGATCTGTCCATTTCCACTCACTATAAAATGAATTGATGTATGAAACTCGCACGCAAGGGTGGAAAAGGGTAAACATAAAGCTTCGCCACTACGGCTTCCAATTATCCGTCTTTTGATATCCGGATATTACGGAAGTCGGAATGTTTGTATCCAATAGTAAATTTCATGGCTATGCTCGGAATTTCTTTGCGAGATCGATTCAAAAATGAGGAGATCCGCAAACGATCAGAAGTGGCAGTGTCGCAGGGAGTCGCTTCCAACCGGCCTATCTGGAAGTCATTGCGGGAGGCCCATGTTCAACAGTCAGTCATTAGCTGTCTAGATGACGTTTGGGAAGCTTATTATTTGTATCAATGAATTTGGTTAAAACATAAAAGAAAACGGTTACTTTAGGTTAAAAATGTGTAGTTTAATATTTTTTTATGGAATCCAAATTTGAATGTTTTTCAAGTCCTACAATTGTTAGGTTAAGTTTCTGACAGACACAATTATGAAACTCGACATAAAAATTGAAATCCCCCAAGAAATACTGCATTTAAATGAAAGAAATTTTAAACTATGTGTCTAAAATACTTTGTGTAGATCTAAACATAGTACAAACTAAATTATTATATAGATGATAAAAATGCTTGGAGGCAAGCTGGTCCGGCTCCGCAGGATAATACATGAAACACAGTGATGTTCAATGAATTCTATTTATGTAATAATAATATAAAATTTTGCTCAATTTATTGTAAATGTGAGAGCCCTGCAATTAATTAAATTAAATTAGACTAGTAGAATGCATTTGTGTCAGCTTGGAGTTGTCATGCTCACTCAAAGATCTCATCGGCGGTGGCGCATGCAGTGGATCGCTCGATTCCCTACAATATGGTTGAGTTGGGCGGTGCTGGGGTACGTGTCATGTTCGTGAACGGGCGCCGTCAATTGATCAACTCCAGACTGTATGATTTTATTGTCCTTAAGATTAATTTCTTTTTCAATCATTTGACTAGATTTTGGTGTTGCATAGTTCTCACAAAATCGAACCAACAAAACTATGTAACTAGAAAATTGTATTGTAAACACGATTGAAAAAGAGTAAACTATGGAGTTTCTTGCTTGTTCTTCTCCATAGGAATCTACACGTTGGAATGAGTTTCACTTCTAAATTTTTGTAAAAAACTAGCTTCACTCCTAAATTTTTGTTGTTGACATTCAAAAGTGCATTCCTGGTCTAATTGAAATAAATTATTATTTTTACTTTGACTTTGAAAGTGAGTATTTTAAATAGATTTTTGCGTAACGACATGATTGAAGTTTATTTTTTTTAAACTTTGATAAACAACAAAAACAGGACCCTATCTGCATTATCAATTTGGTTCTATTATATAATTATTGTAAATGGGGGAGCCCTGAAACTAACTAAATTAAATTGGACTAGTAATATGTATTTGTGTCAGCTTGGAGTTGTCATGCTCACTCAAAAGTCTCATTGGCAGTGGCAGTGGATCGCTCGATTCCCTACAATATGGTTGATATGGGCGATGCTGGTGTACGTGTGACGTTCGTGAATGGGCGCTGTCAATTGGGGTTGGTCAGGACTAGACTATTAAATTTGTTGTCCTTAGGTTATCTTATTTTCCTTCTCCTTGACTGAATATTGGTATTAGATTGTTCTCACATAATTGAACCGACGAAACAATGTAACCAAGAATATTGTATTGTGAACCTGATTGAAAAATAGTAACCTATGGAGTTTCTTGCTCGTTCTTCTTCATAGAAATCTACATTTTGGAACGAGCAAATAGAAGCTTTTTGCATTTTGTAGTATTTGTAGACTAAAGGACTTATCGACACACTCATTTTTTCTTTAATATTTAAATATTTTGTTCTGACGTTAGAAAGTGCCTCCTTGGTCCAATTGAAATAAATGATTTTGACTTTGTTCAAAGTTCTCATTTGTGTAGGAATCGTAATGTATTTATATAAACTAAAGAGTTTGTTTGAACACGCTAATCTCCAGAACTGCTGGCCCGATTTGATCAATTATTTTTGTGTTGAATAGTGCATTTATCGAGAAAGCCTATGCTAAGGTCAAACATTATGCTAAGGTCAATAGCAGCCGAGCAAAGCAGGTGACACCGCGTCAGTCGCCGGTCCCGATATTTACAAAAAAAAATACTCTAATAACAAAGTTCCACTTACGTTAGGTTATTCAGTCGTTGATCCACGAAGATTGTATTTTGAACAGTATTTCCAGTTGACACGGTTACCTAACTCTAGTAAACTCTAGTGAATCTTACTGTAGGGATTCAGTGCATGGTTTTCTCATAGTGATCGGCACCTAACCATTTTTACTAAGCATTTTAAAATGTAACTTGGAGAGTGTAGAAATAGCGTGGGTGGGCTTATATTATAAAGTCGGAAGCAGTCGGCGTCACATTGTCTGGCCGCGGCAAGCCTGCGCTAGTACGTGCCGCTGCATCTGTATCTACTACTATCGCCGCGCAGCTCACACTTGTCTCGCCCTGCTTTTTAGTCTTTGCATTATTTACAACAACTGTCGCGTCACAACAATTTGCGGTTGAAAAAGCCGTAACTCCAGATCCAAATCCTTGTTGCTTGTTAATCACAGAAATAAGTAACTTTGGAGCCTGTGTACATCACATTATCAGTGTGTATTTACTTATTGCAGGCAAGGTGGTGTGCGCGTCGTGCGGCGGCAAGTGCAGCGGCGAGGTGCTGCGCGTGTCGGACAAGTACTTCCACACGGCGTGCTTCACGTGCCGCACGTGCTCCGCGTCGCTGGCGCGCGGCGGCTTCTTCTGCAAGGACGGCCACTACTACTGCCCGCAGGACTACCAGCGCGCCTTCGGCACGCGCTGCGCCGCCTGCGGACAGTACGTCGAGGGCGAGGTCGTCTCCGCCCTTGGAAACACATACCACCAGAAGTGCTTCACCTGCGCGCGCTGCAAGTCAGTACTGTGTTCTATCTTAACCTATATTATTTTTAAGGCATCAAACGGCAATCCAGCAGACGGATGACGTGATGCTAAGTAATCGGCGTCGCCCATGGACATCCGCAACACCAGATTAATTACAAGTGTGGAGCTGGCCTTTTGGGGATTTGAGGATACTAAGAGCAGTCGATCACTCGATTGTTAATGAGCCTCTCGATTGATGTTTCAGACGCGCGTTCCCGTCAGGTGAGAAGGTGACGTACACAGGCGCAGAGGTGGTATGCTCGAGCTGCGTGGCGGCGCCCGTGCGGCAGACCGCGCGGGCGGCCGCACAGCTGGACGCGCCGCGCGCGCCCTCCGCCACGCCCGCCACGCCCGCCACGCCGGCACACCACGACCAGAATGGTACGTACCACTAGTCGCGCGCTCGCTCTGCTCTCGTGGCCTCGACTGACACGTCGCGTTGTGGTTTCAGAGTGCGCGGGCTGCGGGCAGGAGCTGTCCGAGGGCCAGGCGCTGGTGGCGCTAGACAGGTGAGCGGCGTGTGTGTGTGTGCGTGTGTGTGTGTGCGCGACGTCATGCGGTGTGTGTGTGCAGACAGTGGCACACGTGGTGCTTCGCGTGCGGCGAGTGCGGCGCCGTGCTGCAGGGCGAGTACATGGGCCGCGACGGCGCGCCGTACTGCGAGCGCGACTACCAGCGCCTGTACGGCGTGCGCTGCGCCTACTGCCAGCGGTACATCTCGGGGAAAGTGCTGCAGGTACTGCGACTATACTACATCTTACTCAGCTTTATTCAAATCTCCTTTTGTTATCTACTATAGCAAAAACGTTATGTTACCTATGGACTTTATTTTTTCCTAAGTAACTGTTACTCAAGTAATACGTATATGAATGAATTACTCATGCATGAGGCCGCAATTTCGAAACCTACCAACAGCAAGTACCAAAGTGACTTTTTCCAAGTTATATGCACTTTCTAAAATAATTTAGACATCACTGGCAAACGGTGAGGAACACATCGTGGGGAAACCTGGGCTTATAATTTATAATTATAAGTTTGAAATCGCCAACCCGCATCGAGTAAGCGAGGTGATTAATGCTCAAACCTTTTCCATGTAAGAAAAGGCCTTTGGTCAGCAGGGGCCACTTATTGGCTGTTGATGATGACGAATAATAATTAGCAAGATATTTCCACGATTTGAAATGCGCCGTAAGATAGTTAGACGCCGTACTGAGCGTGCTGGCCCGCAGGCCGGCGACAACCACCACTTCCACCCCACGTGCGCGCGCTGCAGCAAGTGCGGCGACCCCTTCGGCGACGGCGAGGAGATGTTCCTGCAGGGCGCCGCCATCTGGCACCCGCGCTGCGGGCCCGCGCCGCGCGACCCCGCCGCCGACCTCGACGACCCCGCCACCGACCGCGCCTCCGCCGACCTGCAGGTATACCAGCGCGCATACACCCCCAGCCTCACTTACTTTGCTTCTTTCACATTCACCCATCATTATACTTTTTAAGATTATCAATATTATCGTGCATACATCATGCTGCAATATTTTGTTTTCTTTTTCATTGAAAATAATTATGTTTTTGAAACATGAATGAGTCCGAAGGCCCCGTGTCCCTGCAAGTAGTGTAGTAGTGTACGTGCGTGGTTGTTGTCGCCAGTTCTCGCTGCGCTCGCGCACGCCCAGCGTCAACGGCTCCTACTGCAGCCCCTACAGTAGCTTGACCAGGAAGGTCCGTCATATTACTTTTTATTATTTTATTATTATTTTATTCATTTCGTGTGCTGTTGAAGTGTTACTCGTTTCTTCTAAATACTTTATTAGTGCTTGGCTAGCGAGTGCATTATATCTTGGAACATCATTTTGAATCACTTCAAGGGCACATGTTCGTTTACTTTGAGTTGAGACATTGACACGTTCACTTGTTTTGTTGTTATTATTATTTGCATTATTTCATTAGTTGACCTTGTGGATGTGTTCACTAGTCACAAGTCCCGTAACCAACCAAATGACCAACAAAATGGAACTAATTCCAAGCGATACAAATACTTGCAATTATTAGTGGACAGAGCGCGCCGCTCATAAGTAGCCCACAGCTACGCCGTAGCCGTAGCCGTGTAGCCGTAGCCTTGCTACGATCTGTGGCGGGGAGACATTGGTTGCATTTTGTGTGGACTTCTATTACTATGTACACTTGGGAGCAAAGAAACTTAGCTACTAGCTTTAAAGAAAATTATTCCTTTTACAACAACATGCTCTCACTTAGAAGTAGGTAATTAAATTGCGTTTTATACGACGTACGTTACCAAATCAGAAAATACTTGTATCAGAAAATATACATCGAGAAGTTTCTTTACTCTCAAGCGTGGTTGGATGTTATATTACCGGTGTCGGGACTCACTCGCAGCGTGAGTCCCACAGTGAGAGTAGTCGTGAGCGTGTCCTGGCTGCGCAGTACGGGTACCGCGCCGTGTCGCCGGGGCTGGTGCTGCGCGAGTACCGCGACGCGGGCGCCGTGTCGCCGCACCGCATCACCACGTACTCGTACCTGACGTCGGAGCCCAGCTACCTGCGCCGGCCGCTGCAGCCCTACGACCGGCCGCCCACGTCGCCGCACTTCCACCGCCCGCCGTCCGGCGGCTCGCGCGCGTCGTCCCGCGCCGGCGCGGCCAGCAAGGCGTCGGGCGGCCGGCCCGCCATGCGCGCGCTCGTGGACTCCATCCGCGGGGACACGCCGCGGCCCAAGTCGCCGCACATGAACAACGAGGAGCCCATCGAGCTGTCGCACTACCCGGCCGCCTACAAGCCGCCGCCCGGCACCAAGCCCAAGATCGAGCGCGACGACTTCCCCGCGCCGCCCTACCCCTACACTGACCCAGGTTTCGAATTCATTCTTAATTAAAAACTCAACACCCTCTTATACGTATTATATTATGTCCTTGTTAGCAAAAGAAATGGTTATTTGTAATTATCCAGAGTACTGTCTATTATCATCCAAAGTGTAATGATATCGCCCCACTACGTTACAGAGCGACGCCGGCGTTGGTCCGACACGTACAAGGGAGTAGCAGACAGTGACGACGAGGGCGACGGCAAGGTCAACGGGAAGCTCAACGGCAACGGAGACATCGACCCCAAGCTGCGCAGGGAGGAACATGAACTCGCCAAGATCGAAACTGGCATCGCACAGGTACATACTATACTACGCCAGCGCCGGCACTGGCTCGCAGTGGAACGCTCGCTAGCGGGACGGTAGCGTAACGTGTCGCGCTACGTGTTACAGGTGTTCCTGAAGGAGGTGAAGGAGCGCGAGAAGCTGCAACAATGGAAGAAACAGAACCTCGACCCTAGGAATGCTAGCAGGCGAGTGTGTGTATGTATGTGAGCGTGTATGTGTGTAGAGTGTATGTAACATGTATGGTCGTACAGGACCCCGTCCGCGTCGCGCGAGCCCCTGCCCCGGCTGCGCTACTCGTCCCCGGTGGGCGCGTCCCCGTCGCGCTCGCTGGAGTCGCGGCCGCACGAGCCCGACCACCTCGACCACAGCGTGCCCTGCTACAACGGTAAGTGGCGCCGCGCTCCGCAGGGGCCGGCACTGTCACTGAGCCCCCGCACTCTGTCCGCGGGGACACTGGGGGGCCGATACTAACCCACTTGTCAATTACTGAGCCCCGCACTCTGTCCGCGGGGACACTGGGGGGCCGATACTAACCCACTTGTCAATTACTGAGCCCCGCACTCTGTCCGCGGGGACACTGGGGGGCCGATACTAACCCACTTGTCAATTACTGAGCCCCGCACTCTGTCCGCGGGTACACTGGGGGGCCGATACTAATCAACTTTTCAATTACTGAGCCCCGCACTCTGTCCGCGGGTACACTGGGGGGCCGATACTAATCAACTTTTCAATTACTGAGCCCCGCACTCTGTCCGCGGGTACACTGGGGGGCCGATACTAATCAACTTTTCAATTACTGAGCCCCGCACTCTGTCCGCGGGTACACTGGGGGGCCGATACTAATCAACTTTTCAATTACTGAGCCCCGCACTCTGTCCGCGGGTACACTGGGGGGCCGATACTAATCAACTTTTCAATTACTGAGCCCCGCACTCTGTCCGCGGGTACACTGGGGGCCGATACTAATCAACTTTTCAATTACTGAGCCCCGCACTCTGTCCGCGGGTACACTGGGGGGCCGATACTAATCAACTTTTCAATTACTGAGCCCCGCACTCTGTCCGCGGGGACACTGGGGGGCCGATACTAATCCACTTTTCAATTACTGAGCCCCGCACTCTGTCCGCGGGTACACTGGGGGGTACTAATCCACTTGTTACTTTACGAGTCCAAGTATTACTAACGAGGGGGGGCGCGCCGCCAGGTGAGTGCGCCCGGAGCCGCGTGTTGCCTGCTACCTGTCGTGTTGCATGTTGCGTGATACGTATTGTGTTGCATGTTGCATGATACGTGACTTGTTACGAGTTGCGTGATACGTGGCGTGTTACGAGTTGCGTGATACGTGGCGTGTTACGAGTTGCGTGATACGTGGCGTGTTACGAGTTGCGTGATACGTGGCGTGTTACGAGTTGCGTGATACGTGGCGTGTTACGAGTTGCGTGATACGTGGCGTGTTACGAGTTGCGTGATACATCTGTGTTACCGTGCTTCCGTCTATGTGGTTGTCTGCGCCCCGACATACATGTATAACTTGCATGAAAATTATTGCACTTTAACTTGATACTAACACATAACAAAACACCATTTTATTAAATAGACATAATTGCACAATAAAGCACTAGTACCTATATTACGTTATAAATCGCGGACTGATGGCGAACTTCAATATATTACATTGCACAGTTCGAAACTCTTTGTTCTCGTTGTCACTGGCAAGTTATTTAAACAGGAACTCTCAGTGTAATATTTCGATTAGGAAATCGAACTCTAGAGCATTAATAGCCCTTAATTCGTTTTGACCATTTGAAAAGATCGACCAAATTAAAGACATTCATATCATAAGAATTGGTCGTTGTGACTATTTACTGGATATCCAGTGGAGAGCTGAAGGTCGAGCTCGAGAGACTCCGTCGTCCTCGACGTCCTCGACGTCCAGCAGCGGACGGAAACGGGACGATGGTGATGAAACAGAAGGCAATACTTTGAATTCCCGAGCGAGGCTCGTCTAATATAGGACAATTATAATTGGGAACATGTGCATTAATCAGTAACCACGCTGAGTATATCGCCTCTCTGGTGCGACCCCGGCGTCACTCGCTCCCTGCACTAACTATGTAACTAACGTCTAGCTTCCTCCACACTCCACCCGGCGCCACTGAGTCTTGGTCATACAATATGTACTAATATTGTGAAGAGGGAAGGTTTTATTGTTCGTTTGTTTATTTGCATTGAATAGGCTTATAAATCTTTATTCGGTTTTATGTTGTCAGCCAATAATTATTGTTATTGCTCATGTATGTAATGCCTGCGACCACGAGGACACTTGTCCCGGGACGGGATACTACATTTTAATTTGTGCAATGAATAGACTGTTCAGAGACATGGCAATGCGTCCCGAGCACAGATATATTAAAGAAGGAGATATGGTGTGGAGTCAAAAATGTACGCAAACCCGTGAAGCCACAACTGCCCCTCCACAAAACTAATACTACACACACAGCTCTGACCAAACAATACTACACACACAGCTCTGACCAAACAATACTACACACACAGCTCTGACCAAACAATACTACACACACAGCTCTGACCAAACAATACTACACACACAGCTCTGACCAAACAATACTACACACACAGCTCTGACAAAACAATACTACACACACAGCTCTGACCAAACAATACTACACACACAGCTCTGACCAAACAATACTACACACACAGCTCTGACCAAACAATACTACACACACAGCTCTGACCAAACAATACTACACACACAGCTCTGACAAAACAATACTACACACACAGCTCTGACCAAACAATACTACACACACAGCTCTGACCAAACAATACTACACACACAGCTCTGACCAAACAATACTACACACACAGCTCTGACCAAACAATACTACACACACAGCTCTGACAAAACAATACTACGAATAAGTGCACACACGCGGCATCGATAACTCACTAATTCAAATATAAGCCTTATTCTTTAAACGACAGCGCACATTCTCCTATGATTTACTCACACTAAAACAATTTGTCACTGTGTGTTAGGAGCGGGATCCACCGTCGCCGTCGATAGCTCCCGATGAATATATAGATAAATTTATTACAAAGGTTTTGGAAATAAAGTATAAACGACATGAAACTAACAAGTATACTACTAATAAACTAATAATTATAAATCAAACGACAAGTTGTATGTAGTTATAATTATATAATTTGGATAAGTGGGTATCGCATTCTTGGTTAATTAATGAAGTTTTAATGTTGTATATTTTTCCATGACTGCTTTTATTAATAATATTATGTGGTTATTTATTGGGACTGCTCTGTGAGTACAAAATTATGACTATGCGATGCTGATCATTATAATGCACACAAAGATAATGGTTCATTTATGAAGATTAAAGTAAAATTGTATAACCATTACAAGTGAACCAATATAACTATTTGTAGTCGACGTTCTTGTCGATAGACTGATAAAACTCCACGACCGCTCAAAGACGGTGGACCTTAGCAGCGGACGCACCATGTGACATCGCGTCTTGATGAGCGTTTCGTTAAGTCATTTTTACATTGCTGGTTTCGTTACTCAGTGTTACACTAGGGTGGTTGTAAAAGAGCAATGTATTAATGTAGACATAATAATACTAATAATACAGTCTGAGTAATATAGAAATAAAGTAATAACTTGTTGTTTTTCGTGATTTTTAAGATAAATATTTGTTCTTACACATGGTAACCGATGCCATGACTTGTACAGTTTTTGTTTTGGCTTATATTTCTGTACGAAATCACTGCACAAGACGGCATTTTATCATTTGTTGTACGATCGCGGGTGACAACATACTAACTCGCAGTGACGGCCATATTATCCTACATTGAGCGAAACGCTCAATTGCGAGCGTCACCGACACGCCCTCCTTTTTTAATATATCTGTGGTCCCGAGATTGAATATTCTGCACCAGTGGCGTAACTACACTGTTCGGGACCCGTGGCATATTCACCGATTGGGCCTCAGTTCCCAATGAAAAACAGAAAACTTCAAATGAAAACCTCCGAGCGGGTCCCGTGGCATTTTGCCGATTTGCCATCCTGTAGTTACGCCACTGTTCAGCACGTAGGGTGAATGTTGCTTATTGTTCGTTGGCTTGGTAATACGAGGTGTTTCAGGAGGATTTGTTCCTCAGTAAATGAAACAAGTTTCTCCCGAGACACCCCGTGTTGCGCGTCTGTGTGCGGCCGAGTGTAGCATGTGGTGTGTGTAGCGCGGCCCGGGTCCGGCCTGCGCGCCGCCACGCTGCCCGCGCGCGCCCGCCCCCACGTGAGTACCGCCCCCTAGCGCCCCCTAGCGCCCCTAGCGTACAGTCGCCCGTGTTGCAGTGGTGTCGTCGCTGCGCGCCGCGCCGCGGCCCGGCTACGGCCTGGCGCCGCGCTCGCACACCTTCTCGTCCTCCACCGCGGTGAGTGCCCCGGCCTCGCACGCCTCGCACGCGGCTCCGGCATGTTATATAATCGTACGTCTAACAAACTTGTTTCCAAAACAAAAAACGACGTCCCGGAGCCGTGCTTATTAAGTGTGCGATGGCCTTAACGTGACATGCGTACTTGATGAAATCCAGTACTTGCAGTTATTGACTCCACTGACTTATAAACAAAAAGTTTTAAAAGCAAGCATTTATACTCCACACGGTTGGCGCAGTGGCTGACTAACCGGCAGCCGCGCATCGTGGAGCGGGTTCGTTCCCGCCCGAAATATCTCACTGTGGGATCACAAATTATTGTTCCGGATCTGGCTATCATGTAACTGTATGTTTAGGACCGAGAACAGGACACGGGGATTGGTAAACACGATAATAAAATTTTTATAATAAGTATCGTGAGACATGCTGAATTAACTAAAACTTACGAGTTACTCACATAAATATACTGAGAAAAGCTGTACAAGTGTCGAGGTACAGAGGGACGCTAGCAGCGACCTGTGGCTGGAGTCGGCGCTTGCGGCCGCGCCCGTCGCCGCCAACGTCGCCGCCAACGTCGCCGGCGTCGGGAACTGGCGCGCGGGCTGCCGGCAGAGGGCGCCGCGCCAGCGACACCAGCGCGGACATCGCCGCCTCCGCGCACGCTGCTCCTGAGGAAGAGTCCCTCTGTGACTCGAAACTAGTACAGCTTTTCTCAGTATTTTAAGCGATCACTTCTGCGTATAATAAGTATAACTAAATAAATCCCACTACAAAAATGACACTTGTCCAAAGTATTTATTATTGTATGAATTGAATGGTGTAGCAGTAAACACTGTAGAGGTACCCGAGTCGCTGAGTCTGTGTGCTGACAGCTGGGAATGTATCTTACTAGTACCTACATGACATTGAGTATTTCACATGTCCACTTCGATCCTGTATGCTCTGTCGCCCAGTGCAGGCACCTAGCGCCGTGTATAGACATACGCCGCGGTAGGTGCCGCTGCAGAGACCATGGCGCTGACCGCGCGTTGTGTTGTAGGGCGACTTCACGTTCAGCGGGATGGGAGACAAGACGCATAGCACCGACTTCAGTAGCGGCAAGTCAGACAGTAAGTATCGCGCGCCGGCTCAACCGCACTTGTTGCTCTATTCGCCATGTACTGATAAATCTTTATTAAATACTATGTAGTTTAACGGAACCATATCTTTGGTATCCACCAACCAACATCTACTGTCTCTGTACTGAATACATCTTTATTTCCGTACTCGCACTCCGAATGACGTCGCTTGTGTACATGTCACTCGTGTAACATTCCGTAACGGTGACAGATCTCCTGGTTGTGTCTGCGCATGAGTACGCGCCACGACCGGTTACCTACCAATACTGTATTATTAATATTCTCATAGTATGTGTTCTGGATGGTCTTGTGTTGATAATTATGGAATATTACGTGTAATGCGGAAGTGTCTAACCTTGGTTTCTAATGAAGTGTGTTTATTATCCTTGTGAGCGGTAGAGGCTAACGATGGAGCGTATAGCAGAATGTTGATACGTTTCCGCCATGAGAGTAAGGATGCGCCGGCCGCGGGTCGCGGCCCCGCGCGGGGCGGCGGCCCGCGAGCGCCGCGTGACTGAGTGTTTGTTGTCGCGGGCCAGTGCGGACGGAGCTCTGCAGTAAGTGCGCCGCCTCACCCCGCACGCTCGCCCCGCCACCGCCACCTGTCACCCACTCGCGCCCTGTGCTTGCCTCAGGCGACGCGTCAACTCTGCCTCTCGCGGCTAGACTTGAAGTGTCGCGGAGTCGCTCGTCGCTTGCCTCCGGGCCAGTACTCACACTCGTGCGCTCATTGCCTGCTAGCTACACTCCTGTCCAGTAGTACGGTGTACAGGCTGCTAAATTATGATTATCGTTACAGTATCTGCCGGCTCCATAACTGATGTGGATCGAAGTGCTGTGGTGAGTGTCACAACCCCCTCTATTGTTATTTACTTATATCCTCTATCTGTGCGTGGTGTTCACAGCAATATGCCATAGTAACTTACACCGTAAAACAAATATTGCATATAGATTTATAATTATATTTATTACTAATATTACCAACATTTATTAGCGTCATTTGTGTCGAATCAGATAGAGTATTGTTTTTTGCACAAGTTTGAATCGCTTGCCACTCGACCTGCGGGTGGCGACACTATTAGAGAAAAGCTGGGAGTTATATGATGGCGTGCGTGTCGCAGACGACGGACGGCGGCGCGCGCGGCGCGGCGGGCGCGGCCGGCAGCGTGGCGGGCAGCGCGGCGGGCCGCTACGCGGGGCCCGGCGCGGCCGGCGCGGGGCCCGGCGTGCGGCGCTCGCTGCCCAACATGGCCACGTCGCACCTGCTGCACGAGCCCGCCAAGCTGTACCCCTACCACCTGCTGCTCATCACCAACTACCGCCTGCCGCCCGACGTGGACCGCCTCAACCTGGAGGTGAGCCCCGGCCCGCCCGAGTGCCGCGCCCGCCCGGCAGAGACTGACCCTTGCCTTGTTGCAGCGCCACCTGTCGGACGCGGAGTTCGAGGCCATCCTGCAGATCGGCCGACAGGACTTCTACCGCCTGCCGCAGTGGCGCCGCAACGAGCTGAAGCGGCGCGCGCGCTTGTTCTAGGCGCCGCGTCGACTGCACTAGTGTAGCCTTCGCGCGATGACGTCACATTCACACAGCGTAGCGGACGGCCCGCGTTCTCCTAACGATGCCTTCTTGTAAATGAGATGATATATACAGATACCTATATACTATGCTATATATTGTGATTTGTGTGGGCGCGTCAATTCGTTTTACATTAGTGAGAACCAAATATATTACGATTTGTAAGATAATTATTTTGAGTTAGAGTTTAAGTTGGGACATAGATGAGTATACCGCTATGTATCGGTAGCTATAAGTGTAGCTTTGTGGGTAGCGGACGGTGTGTGGGCGCGGGGCGTGACGTCATAATACTTAGTTTGTACTCCACGCAAACTGTCATAATAGGTGCGGCGCCGCACTCGCTTACCTTATAAGTCGTTGTTTTTAATTTTATTTTACGCAGATATTATTTTTGGTTGCAATATACTTGAAACTATTATACCAAGGCATTTTTTTTTTTGGTGTGATTCCGACTGTTTACGGTCTAATATACTTATAATTAAATATACGCCAGAGAATAATAGCTATATGACAAAGTGATATAGCATATTTATAATGACGAGCAGCACCACTCTGTTCCGCAGTGTCGAGCGTCGACGTCTTGAGCCAGTGCCGCGCTACATTGCTAGGGCACTGTTCTTATCTAAATGTAACCGTTAGGATGCAGGATGAGTCTGTTGATGAGATAGAACCGTGTTCGATATAATAACCACTAGTCTCTCCGTGTGACCCGGTCCTTTCAGGCTGGCCCTCGCCGACACTTATTTATGATTCATTTATATTTCAATATTAATTAAAATATAGTAATAAAATTACTGTGAGTTACTCCACATCGGAGTTCTATAAATTGCTCTTTCTTTTTGGCAATCACAATATTATTATAACGTACCTATAATATTGCACTTACATTACCCTCGAAGCTGTGCATGCCTACAAATTTGACTAAATCGATCGTTCAGCCAATCTTCTACACGCTAATATGTAGTGAGTGTATGTATGCTTGTCACGCTACGGACGTGACGTGTCGGAGCTAGATCATGGCCCCTGGTAGGGGGACGCTTGGAACCTAATCATATTTATGTATTTCGAAAATTTTTAACTATAAGCGATGTCAGCTTTCTATATAATGTGTGCGGATGAGTGAACGAGTTAAATTATTTATATTGAATTGTATTAGATGTATATATAGAGTTTATTTTGTAATAATGCTATGGAGACTGGGGGGAACGCCGCAACTGCAACTCCAAATGTCGAGCACCGGTCGCCGGTCGCGCGGTCCACGCGGTACTTGCGGCCAGGCAGCTACAGTACGCACTCGTATACATACATATTGTGTTCGGGAAATGGAAATATGTAGAGGAATTCTGAAGGCAGCTATTGAAAGCCTATTGAATTAGGTTATCAAATGGAATTTGATAATAGAAGTTGATCAATGACTTCGTGACATTACGTGTTCGTTACTACCAGATTGCATAACTGGGGCATTAGCTAGGAGTTGGCCCGTAGCTACAACAGCTATCTAACCTAATCAGAAAATATATTTACAGATAAAAAAACACGAAAGCTCATGACAACAGGTTTATCATGAGTATAAGAGATATATTGTCCTGCTTGTGGTATAGTTACAGTTGCGGTGTCTCCTTGCAGGCTGTTGTAACCCGGAGAGTATTCTCCACGCCGTAACTGCAGCGAGTGCCAGTACGTACTGCACGTACAGTGCTACAGTTACGGAGTGAAGTGTACCTTCGCGGCGATGAGGATCAATGTTTCGCTTCTTGTACAGCCAGCGTATCGCACGACGCGTGAGTCACGACTCACGACATCATTTCCTACAAATACATAATTATAAATGTATAAATATGTGTGAAAGTAATTTACTTATCAGCGACGAACGTAAAGACGACATGCTTTTAAAATAATAAACTTGCATTTCCGATTAATTTTGTTATTATTTTCAACAAACGCCTTCCTCTATCCAATACTTATGAGAACCACGATTCTCAGTGACAGTGGCTGGTGGCTGTGAACGAAACCATATCACGCGTGCTGATCCAGACAATGTGGCAAACGTGACAGGCAGTTCTCGTTTACTACCTTACATGCTATACATTAATTAAACGACGCCATTCAGTTACAAAATATGGCATGTGCAAAAAGTATATGTATTTTAACATTCTAACATTCTCCATCTGTTGTTTGGTGATAGTCCGTCTTAGTCAGTGGCGTAGCGTGTCTTGGTTGGGCCCAAAGAGTATAATAACTTATTATTAGAAGTATTAATCCCGGCCCCGAATATTGAGGGGGGGGGGGCTTGTAGTGAAGTATGGGAGAGCCATGCATCGGCACGAATGGGCCGGCTTGACCGGAGTAATACCACGGCCTCACAGAAAACGGCCCGACATGAAACGTTTGCGTTGTGTTTTGTCGTGGTTATCGGAGGCCCAACTACCCATTCCCCATCCCCCTTCCCTGAATCCCCGACATTTCTCAAATGGGCGGTAACGCATTTGTAACGCCTCCAGGTGTCCATGGGCGGCACCGAATGCTTTCCATCAGATGACCGGCTGATCCCATAAAAAAAAGTTTCTTCATAATTATTTAAGTTAAGTATAGTACATAAAGTTTATCTATTTAACAATGACGACGAATGTTTGAGGAACTAACAACATTCAAACTATGGCAACACTGAATGAAAGTATAATTATTGCCCACTATTTATCCAAGATGAATTTTGGAAGAGTAGCTACATCATTTTCAGCAGTCCTGGAAATTTTTCCAGGGAACCTGGAAAGTTTAATTTTTGTCCAAATTATCGAATTATGATGACTTTGTCTGTCTTTAATTTTTCTTAAGTTCTGCCAATTTGCATGCTTTACGCCACTACACGGGAACAATTATTGTTTTGACTTTTCTGGTTTCTAAAATAAATTAAAAAAATGGGAACTTTTTAATAACTTTAAGTGAAACTTCCGTGAAACCACAGACTTAAATTGTATGCGTGAAACGGGGCCCCTGTAAAATAGATACGGCGCTAGCGACGCCATTGGTATCAACTGCAATTATTAGTCTTGAGTTCGTTAAACTTGTTCGACATCAAAAGTAATATATATTTTTATTGTCTTATTTGGTTTTATTACACAATCGTGACATGTATCGTGATTGCTTATTTTTGTATTAATTAGTCACAGGTATTAGTCTATTATAATCATAATTAAAAAACATTCGATGTGTGTGTATTTAAAAATGTAGTCGGGGACAGCCAAGGTGTGTCGTGTTGCGTCCTGGTGTGGCGCTGTGCTAAGGACCTAATGCGATGCTTGTATTGTATGCAGCGTACATACCTTCACATTGATGAGAACATAACCGATATTGCTTCCAATCTTTAATATAGTTTACAATTTGTGTCATTTTATTAGTAACAAAATTGCACATAATAAAATTATCACTTAGTCGAATTGTGGATTTAATTGCATTGACAACACTATCTCACAGATTATATGCGACAAACTATATAACACTCTGTGAAACCCAAATGAAACCGCAAAAGTCGCGCGTGCTAGTAAGTCGCATTTATGGAATCAATTTTGATTGTACTAAATTTCGGATGACTTGTGATATAAATAGTCAGTGAAAATGATACTTCTAATTCTATAAATCAAAATCGAGAGCTCTGTAAATTTTTCCCCTGTTGTGTTTTTTTGTGCTAAGTGTCAGTATTTAGTGAGTATTATGAACTTTGAGGACTATGAAACCCTTCCGACCCAAAACTCCGTCACACACATGACTGCTGGAGCAATAGCAGGAGTGATGGAGCATTGCATAATGTACCCACTCGACTCCGTAAAGGTAAGCACTGCCAGCAGACACCGGCGCGGTCAGGACCTGCTCCTGCCTGCGCTACTACTTGCTTCGAAACTAACCTAATCAGTGTGACAGTTGTATCGGCTGGCCTGTTACGCCACCAATTTGCCTTCTCCGATTATGTAAAAACGTATGTCAATATTATGTCTTTACCAATTTGTTGCAACAGTTTCTAATGGTAAACTGGTCTTATTATCGTAACACGTTTTATATTTGTTGTGATCTTCATGTTTTGCTGAAATTAAACTAACTGTTCACGTCAAATCACATATTTATGTGCTGAAAGTGGTTATTTGAGTGTTATATTAATTGTTTTAATACCCAACCAGCATGTGCCAGTAATCTTTGATATTTATGATCAGTACAGTCGGTCAAGTAGTCTCAGTAGTTTGTCAATGTTATTGTAATGGAACAGAGTCACTGGTGTGCCACTACATAGCACAGAGTGAGTGCACAGACACTGGACTGCAGAAAGTGAGACATTACGCAGCATGCAACACATGACCTTGACTGCTAGTTGTATTGATGCACCTCCTGTCACTGCTGTCACTCTGTGTGTAGCAAACATACTTATTAAATACCAATTTCCTTGTTATTACAATATTCTTTGTAACATGCTTAGCTTTCCATTATAGGCCACAGTCTGAACTCATGCTCTGATAACAGTACAGACTTAACTACAATGTACATAAACTGAGCAAACAGCAAGTATTTAATGATTATTTCTGTGTCACATATTGTAGCTTAATTACTGATAAAATACAGACTGTGCTGTCATATAAAACATGCACATTGACAAAACAGAAACCTAAACTAGATTGTTACAATATTGTCAATGTGCATGTAGTGTCACACACACATACATACTAAATGTATGTGTACTTGTGCGCTGCATGGCTCCGTTCATTTGACTGCTATCTCATGGGGCATTCATTAAATGTTATGCTTTGTTTAAATGCTACAGGAATATTGACCAATATTTCAATTAACATATTTATTAAACTGATCATTGTATCATATATTTATTATATAAACGGGTTACCAAATGACTTTTGAAGTAAAATAGGTACTCCTAATTTTTAATATTGTAACTAAAGGTATCCTGGCTCAATGTGTCTTTTGGAAATAAAATAAATTATTTTTTAATACTATAATTTTACAACAAGATGACAAATTACAATTTTAATATCCATACCATTTTTATTTAAAATAATTACTTTATTTAAGAAAATGATAAAACTTGCAAGTAATGATGACAGTCAGTGTTGAGCCACTCAGCCAGTGTGTGCAGTGAGTCAGTGGGTGGTGTGTACACAAGTGTGGACGCTGTACTGCGCACCACACCACCTGCCCACATCCAAACTTGCTTTACTTACATCCACTTACATTTTAAAATGCTTGTAAATAAAAGGGTCATTACCTTGGTGCAGGTTATTCTATTGACGAGCAACATAAACAGAATATTACCTGTATAATTATGCATATATCACTATTATACCCATAGGACAAAACATTATGAAACAAAAATTAGTACTATTATATTATTAATTATAAAGAATACATAAATACTTAAGGTACTGTTACACGTCATGCTCTAAAACATCATATTAAAAGGTATTCTATTGAGCATGCTAAAAATGTTAAATAATTGAACACCTGTCAATTTTCAAACATGCCTGAAATAAGCATGCTAATGGGGCCACCATATTTTTGTTCATAGGTAGTGCTAGTGTACACCTCTCATTATCCATTCAATATGGAATTAACTAGAACTAGTGTCACACCAATGGACATTTAATATTTGACAGTTGCTGTGATTGGACAAAAACCCCCCTCCTCCATTTGTATTTTTCATCACTGGATGGACCAGTGAGCAAAAATACAGTACCTCCAATTTTGTGCAACATTCTGACACATGCTCACTTGTAATTAAGTGACAAGTGCTCAATTGAAGCATGCTTTAGTGCTTGAAATTTGCATGTGTTACCTTTAAAACAACAACAAATAATATTGGATGAGCAAAATATGCACCAAGTGAATATGTACATTATATAAATAGGTAATACAAGTATGTGCCATGTTTTTCCTTAAAGGAAAAGTGTCCACATAAGTAGTTGCAGTCCAATGTCCACCGTTGTTGTGTAATTAACATTATTATGCCAGTAGTTCATAATTGATTAATAGAGAAGACACATGTGTTGTGGCTTGTATATTGCAATATATAAGTTTGTACGAGTAGAGTGTCGGCATCTCTCTCACGCAGTGGTAGTGGTGGCTATATAAGGAAGTAGTCGGCCTTGTTAGCGTTCTGCCAGCACTGCTGCGTGCGGAAGGCGGTGTCGCAGTGGTCGGCGCCGCGCTGGGTGCCGCAGGCGCGCAGGGCGGGCGCGTTGTGTTCCGCCAGCGACGGCGGCAGCAGCGCCAGTACAGCCTCGATGTCCACCTCGCCGTCAGCCATCATACCGGCCGTCTCCATAGTGCACTTGATGTAGCACTTGAGCTTGTCGTCCGGCATCAGCTCGGCGCCGGCGTTGACCTGCTCTACCAGCGCTACGTCCACGCCGGTCTCGCCAGCGCAGTTGTCGCGCACCATGCGCGCCAGCTCCGCCATGTCCTCGTCCATCTCTACAGCCGCCGCCACCAGCGTGACCAGCGTGGCCAGCGTCAGAACTAGCGCCTGCACCCACATCGCGACTGCACGAGATATAGCCCTCGCTTCTGCCGACCTGTACCTTATATAACTCACTGCTCAATGTCAGCCTGCTCCTGATCACATGGTCCGTGTCATCTCTAAATTACAAGCTCCTCCTTAATAACCCCTGATTAAAAAAAGTTGTTTGTTTGCAAAGTAGGTACCTACTGCTGGAGAGGAAGTTGTAATTTTTCATTACCATTGTACAATCATTGGAAAAAATTATATATTTGCTAAAGAGAGAATTACATACTAGTAACAGACATAAATTGTCAGTTGCTTGAAAACAAAGAATATTTAGGCGGTCAGTACTCGAGAGTAGCAAGGGGCTGTAATTAACTGGAAGATGATTGTTGCAGACTCGGATGCAGTCTTTACGGAATGCCAACAACAGCTCCATCTCCGAGACCTTCAGGCACATGGTGAAGAAGGAGGGTCTACTAAGGTAACTATCCATGCCGGCTGTCTGCCGTTGCTACGTGTAGCGGGCTTGTTCATGGTCGCATCTCAGAAGTCCCGATTCGAGCAAACGTTATCCAATATATATAATAACGCAGCGACGTCAGCCTACTGACGCCTTAGTACGAGTTTCTTTTTCGTTTAAAGTAATCGTAACGAGTACGCGTTCGGCGCTGCGATTGGCCGGCTCTAATGAACCAACCAATCAGAGCACAGAACGCCGTCTCGTTTCGATTACTTTAAACGAAAAAGAAACTCGTACTAAGGCCTCTGATTACAGAATCGGCACGCGCTGCTCATGAGGAACAGTCCCGTTGTAACAAGTAGAGTTTTTCTCAGTTATTTACCTGAGCGAATGGGTGTGCCGAAAAGTTCATGGAATGTTTTTTTTTTGCGGATACGAAATCGCAGGTAAAAGCTAGTTGCCAATTATTTAAGATTTAAGCCCCGGTCATACTAGAACGAAACCGCCGCGGTTTTTAACCACGTTAGGCCCGTAAGCACTAGGATGGAACATTACGCGGTTAAAAAATTGTTGCGATTCCGCTCTAGTGAGGCCGTGGCCTTAAAAGGTAAGTACTTATTACGTAAATCAAACAACGTAAATCGTAATCTCAAAACAAAGACTACTGATCGTTCGTTTGTTTGTGACAGGAAAATATCAAGTATCTACTTCTACCTGTAGACACTTGAGTACAAAATTGCTAATTCAGTACCTATAGGTACAGTATATATACGTATATATCTTCTCTCAGTAATGGGGGTCCCGTCTATAGTAGTTCTGTGCACATAACTACAGGTGCAAGTCGGTTCTAGTAGGTCCGACACCCGGAGAATGTACCTCCTCATATTCACTAACTGCGTAGCGATGTAGAAGTAAGTTTAGTCTTGTCTAGTTATTTTTTTTAATGGGACAAGCCCGCTACAACCACCCTAAACCACTGCAACTCCTGTAAGCCAGGATCTAGATACAACCATGAAAACACCGGAATACTGAAGTCCAGCGCGTCCTAGGGACATGAATAACAGTCTTAGTTCCCGCAACGAAGTGAATCAGAAGATATTATAAGAGGTGAAGAAAAAAACGATAATCTCCAATTCCCTTGGTAAATTTCTGCAGGAGACAGAATGAATTAAGCCTAAAGGCACAAAAAAGAAACTGTACAACTGGGGCCTAGTCGCAAAGCACCACGGAAACTTGAGTGGGTCCTATTAGTGAGCTGTTATACTTACTTCCAATAATAGGTGCAAAAGCGCCTAAACGCACGGACATTTGTTCTAGATTCCACAAGGTCCGTATAATGAGCTACACCTGACGAAACAATCAAATTATTTAACATAGTGTTACGTTCATATTGCCAGAGATCACACTCCCAGAGTATGTGATGGGTGGACTGCTCGTATTGCAGCTCCGCTGTCGAACATTGGCACCATGGCGAACCAACAAGTTTAAATAAGAACAATTTGCTTTCAAAGTTGCCGTGGCCAGTAAGAAATTGGGCAACACAGTGATCCACCTCCAACCATGTCCTCTCCAGCCGTTCATGCACGGATCTTGTTTAGTTAGAAGAAACGATTAGCCGCCGCCTGCAAATAGAATGATGTTTTATTAAAGGACAAAACCACAAGGCGGTAAATCGGTGCAAATGGCCCACTGCCGCTGGCGGCTTCTATTGAGTCAGTCGCGGCTCGCGTCCTCTGTCCGCTCCACGCGACAACGTGATTGGAAATGTAACCCATTACAAGTATTTAGTGGCGCGACGCGGTCACGAGCTCGACACGTGTACACGCGCGGCGTACCTTCAGCCTCGTGCGTGCACTCCTCTCGATCTCGACTCGAGTGATCCTACATACAACAACCAGTCGCCACTCGGCAGCCATACTCCACTCCTCTCTTTCCTGTACAATAAACTTATATGTTACTAGCTGTACCCGCAATTTCGTTTGCGTTTTTCTAAAATAAAAGCTTGTGTGTTACTCCTTAGTACATCAGTTGCCTGCTAATAAAAGTCCCGCCAAAATCGGTCCAGCCATTTCAGAGGTTAGCCAATACAAACAGACAGACAGACAAAAATGATAAAACGTGTTATTTTGGTATAATGTGTGTCGTATGTGTGTGTACTCATGAATGTAGTAAAAAGCGATTAGTTCAATATTACAAACACACTCCAGTTTTATTTAGTGACGTAAAACATACAGGTGTTCCTGAAGTCCACGATGAAACGGCACCAGGTTATCGGTATAAATTCCAAAATATTATTTCACTAGCTATTACCCGCGGCTTCGCTCGCGTCACAAAAGGATAAAAAGTAGCCTATGTGACATATACCAATACGCACAGCGCCATCTATACCAATAATTTCATTTTCCCTCGAGAATATCAAATTTTTCCGGGATAAAAGCCCTAATATTTAATCCAGACTTCTAACTTTACGTCTGCAAAATTTCAAAGCCATCGGTTTAGTAGTTACGGCGTGAAGGCGGAACAAACAAACAAACAAACTCACTTTCCGATTTAAAATATTAATTAATAATTAATATATAATTAATATAGTAAGGATATCCGGTTTATTATGGCGGCCAGCCTCCACATTCATTAAACAATTTTCTACCCCCAAGACGATGGGTTATACTGTAATAACGGGTTGGTTATACTGTAGTTTGACAAATACGGAATGTTTTATTTTATTTTCCATTTTCTTTTAAACCATTTTTTTCTATCTGAAAATAAAAATAGGTTTTATAGATAGCTCAGTCATTTAATTTTGATAGTTTTGCCTGAAACTTTTTCTGAGAGTTAAATGACATTTTCCAAACAAAAACAGTTTAATCAAAATTTATGATTCCATAATACTTAAACACTATTCAGGATAACGTAAATAAAAACACATACGAAAAAATAAAAGATTGTTGCAACAATAGTCACATGTCTGGCACAGGGGGTACTTTTTCGTGGATAATACATAAGTCATTGTAATTTTAAAAGAGTATGACGGATTTTTTTCTATATTTTTCTGATGACTGTTGGAACCTTGCCGATCACCTGGTGCCATTTGATCGTCGACTTCAGGGACACCCTGTATATATGATTATTATCTCGCCTGGTGGTAAGCGATGATGCTGTTTACGATGGAGCACGTCGTCCCATATACAACCTATTCGCTCGGGCCTTGAAGAAACCCAGGTCCTCCTCTTCAGGAAATAAAGACTGGCAAAGAATTCCACTCCTTAGCATTACGCACAAGAAAGCTTGATGCGAAGCGCTTCGTGCGTGTGGGACATCTACCATGAATCGGTGACGTTTTGCTGATTGTCTTGTGGTACGATTATGGAAAGGACAAGGGGGAATCAAGTTGTGCAATTCCTCGCACACTCACCGAAATGTATCCGGTAGAAAACTAAAAGGCATGCAATCTTACGCCTGTGTTCGAGGCTTTGAAGCTGGTTCTCCACAAGCGCATCATCGTTGATGTGCTTCTTGGCACGCCGGTACCCAACTTCATGCCAGCCAGCCTGCGCTTTCGACTCTATATAGGAGCCAAAGATGAGTGTGCGTGTCAGAGTTACGTCAAGCTCAAGATGATCAGTTATCTGAACGGATACATTTCGGAAAGTAGGAGTCAGGGGAAATTTAATCCATTTGGCGCAGAATAGACACGCCTGGGTTTTGCTAGCGTTGAACTTGACCATGCTGGCATCACCCCAGTCGGAGACCGCCTTCAAGGACGAGGTCAAACGCTCGACCTCGGATTCTCTTAGAGACCAGATCTGTGTTCCGCTAGTCTGCGTATCGGACACATAACTTTCAACAACTGTGTTGTCATCTGTATACCCAAAGACACCGGGCTTAAGCAGGTCGTTTAATGCAGCAAAAAGAGCGTCGCTGAAAGTACTGACCTCTGAGGGACGCCGAGCGTTAATACCGTATTGGTCAGACGAGCAGCCATCGATGACTATTGACCGACCCCTCAGGAAGTTTGCTATCCATCTGCACAGATCAGCAGGAAGCAGCAGCATCTCGATGTAGGCCTCCAATATCGTTGTTGATTGCTGGATGTAGGCCTCCAGTATCGTGATTGCGTGACAAAGGTGAGAGTCAAAGACTAAAGAAAAATTGTGTGAGTTCACCGTATCGTGGCGTGGTCATCTTTGGTTTGTTATATGTTGCTCAACAATATCGACCAGAACATGGCATTCCTCTCAAAAGTGCAACTATGTGGCAATACCAACACCAACTGTGGTGCCGACGACTCCATTAATATGTTGACAACAGGGACCAACTGTCATTATTACCTTAACAACTGGGACTGGTGCAATACAGAGTAATTCTGTATGAGTCAAACATTTTGCATTGTAATTAGGGCAATACCTGTAGAATTGTAACCTAGTGTGGTTAGATATCGGTAGCAATACGGGATTACGAGGTGGTAGCCCACTGCCGGGGCTCCACGCCTGCACTGTGCAGTCACGCGGCGCGCGTCGCTATCGGCGCGTTATCTGTTATCAGCGTACGTGAGGCTGCGCCGCGCCGCCTGCTGCTTGCTGCCCTCAGCCTTGCTATTGTATCTGGCAGTGTCATGCCACCAACGTAATGGATACGCGATAGCCATCTCTACGCTGCGCCTCGCCCTATTGATAAAACATTCGCAGGAGTCTATCTGATAGTAATCTATTAAATAAGACGACAAATAACAAATTTTTTCATCTAAACCTTTTTTAGAAATCGCACTACCTGTTGCTGAAAACTACTAAAATCCGTCTAGTATCTTCTTGAGTTGGTCGAATTCTTAACTAAGTCGATGCGAATGGACTTATTTCTGACCAAAGCAAATTAGGGTAATATACCTATTATTTGACGCAAACCTTAACTATACAATATGCAACCTAAAACAAAATTGAAAACTATAATTCTTAAAATTCTAAAATATTAATATTGAAAATATCTAGTCGGCGATTACCGTAAATGGTAAAAATACTAATTAGTTGTATGATGAGAACACAAGAATGAGTGTATTGTAGTTCTGGTAGTGGCTGGCGCGTAGTTTTATCTGTTTGGCACGCGAGCGCCGCGCGACGCTGGCGCCGCCTACGTCTAGCATTGCTGATACAGACTGACACGGGCACTACGGGCAGTGAAAGTGGCCGCCTAGCGCCTGCTCAATGATCACTCACTCCACTCACACCCGGCAGATAACACGAGAGGTCGCCACGTAACACGTTATCTTCATCTTACATGCTCTTGTGATGTTCCCAACTCAATTATCGATAATGAAACTTGGTTTGTTCTTATTGATTTGGTTGACATTCTCCTCGTGTAGAACATTAGAATAAGTTGTATTTAGTCATTTGTGGGGCGGTCGCGTCCACTGCTGACTTCTCCATATAGAGGAATTGGCCATTATCTCCACTCATCGTTAAAAAGGTCAGATTCGTTTTGCCGCTAGGTCACTAGGTCTCTCACATGTGATCCACTTGTCGGCTCTGTGAGAGCCGTCGCGTCCCAGTGCCGGAGTGCTTGCAGTGGTCATGGTCGCATACTCTGTGCGACTGCGAACTCAGTGTTTGTTATGATGAGGATACATACGGGAGCATGACTTGAAATAGAACAGCTAGTCTAGATTATATTGTATAATGGCGGCTACACTCTACTGTACTTACAAACGACCTGTGTGTGCATATCGTCTCATAATTACATAGCAGCAACCAGCTATCAGTGTGACTCTGTACCTACTTCTCCGTTGTCCAAACATACTAACAAACAGTTGGGTTTGAATTACATAAACAGTAATTATCAAATCAACAAGTTGACGCCACCGAATACTTATTTGTTATAAATAAATACATACTATATTAATAAGTAAAGAATAACGACGCGCTATCATGGCACAAGATGTATCGGCAAACAGGCGTGGTTGATAACATGCGTAGGTACTTTAGTGTTGTAATAGCTGCGATATGGTATCAGAATATTCGCTTGCGTGTTGCGCACCAAGGAGCCACTACACCACTGGCGCTGTGCTGGTCTCGCTCGCGGAGACGTGTCAAGTAAAATTGCAGACAGGCGACCAAGCACTACGCTTACATGTGATCCTTTCTTGTAAAACAACTGCTTCACGCCAATTCTAGGGCAATAGAAATTGGCAAAATGACATTACTTCTTACTAACAAATAAAATACTACAATACCCTCGTACACAATGTACGTATTGTAGTATTTTACTTCGCTTAGAAACACTTATAAAGAAACAAATTAGGGAAACTTGGTAATGTAGGAGGATGAAATAATTTGCAGCGGGGTCATTAGAAATTTTGCGCGAGTATCGGCCTAGCTCGTGCCCGGTAATGTTCACGTGTCTGCCACTGACTTAGCTGCTGATTTCTTCAAAACAACGATGGTTGGAGTAATGCGCGTGTCTCCACTATACGGTAAATTAGATGACGTCAATAAATCGCCGTTTGTACGTCGGGCTCCTTCTCCTTGACCTTACCTTGTCAATTGTTTTACTAAGTCATGTGTGTGTGTTATGTCATTATACGAACTGCATTTTAAATGTGATTGTTTCGTTGACAGAGGATCTGGATAACACTAATCTAAATGTTCGATAATGGACCGATGTTCCAGACAGCGGCACTAATTTGCACTAACTGGCATAGTTCTAAAGAGCTGTTGGTACTAGCCGTACTACTTTGTCGTTAATAATCCACTTTCTTCATTTTTAAACATTTATCGTCAGTAGGTATCTGTACTATGTTAATGTTTAAGCGATGGTATCGATCGAAGTACGCTTGTACCTACGTATTATTGTACGTAGGCGAGGAGAGGTCGCCGCCAGCCGAATTGTGACGACCTTGAGCCTCAAGGCCGGCTGGGTACCGGGTAGCTGCCCTAGGTGCCTGTTCTACCCAATACCACACGATATTACCGTTAATACAAACGAATATTTAGTAATCCATTAGAAACTGATACAAAGCTAGCGGGCCAACTTAAAACTAATGATAAACTTGAATGCTGTGCAGTGATGACTGTCTGTTGTTTCCTGTTTGAATTATCGAATAAAAAGTCACGATGACGTAACAGTATTACGCGTGTTCGAAGCCGGAAGGCCGTCCATCGTGATTACCGTGCGCCGCGCCGTGGTCGCCCGTGGTCTTGTGGTCCGGCCTCGCCGGTTGGCAGCCTAATGTGTGACTCTACCAATACTCGTGCATGTTATTGTAGCGGTTATCTTAATGTTTTATGTTGTGTAAAATTAACGGCTAATAAGTCAAGCAGAGTAATTAACATTGTTAACCCTTGGTCCACCACTTTATCTTACAAATTGAACTTGATACAAGATGACGCTCATGTCGAATGTTTATTCAAAAAAATATCTCCAAAAATTAACAGCACTCAAACAATGTTTAATCAATTCAAAAGACATATGATTTTATCATTTTTTTATTGTCTTGGGAACACAAGAGCAAACTATTTCAAAAAGTTTAGGTTAAATTTGTTAATGACGAGTTTCATACCCATCGGGGCATTCAATTGCGCGCTCACAGCTTTTTGTAGTACAATTTGGTTGTTACTTGAGTATATTTTAATAAATATGATTGTGCTTAATGCTCGATTGCTGACGTCCGTGGCACACGAGTTCTCGAGCCGGTTGAAGTGCGGCCGTCGCTTCTGCTGGCACTCGTGTGTAGTTCAGGGTGTCAGTGTACAAGTCAGAGTTCTGTTATCTGTTGTCGTGTTGTAAAATTATTGTACGTGCCGGTGATATATAAAGATAGCAGCTCGTGATACTATCTCAGGGTTTACAAATTAAGTTATTTTATTAAGTACGTATGCTATTTATGGCAATTTTATAATACACGATACCGCATTACGGCCAGTCCACAAGTGTCGGCATTTTGCACTTACGTACTTCAGTGCTCGCATTATGACATGCACAAAAAAAATGCGAGTCACTGTCCGCTGTAATAAGAGAGCTAGAGGTCGCCACACGCGCTCTGTGTTTGTGGCGAGTGTCTCCGGCAGCCAGCCTCCTGAACCACTGCTAGTGCCCACTACACCTACGGAAAAGTGTCAAGTGTATGGTAACTAGTATGTCTGTCAACGCACCCACACGAGTCGACGGCATAGGAGAAAACCCTAGCGTGAGCTAACGTTTCATAGAAAAGAAGAAATATTCTTAGATTTTATTACATAGTTAGTTACAGGTCGACTTAGTAAAAGCGTGTTAAATACCATACGAATTACTTTCAAAATGGTTATTTGAATACATTAATTAGTTACCTATACGATAACCAGGCGATAAACGCTTCATACCAAGATACGAGTACTACGACTACGTATTGTATTTTGTTACAAAAGCGGAACGATTTTTAATTTCCACTGACTTTGTAGTGCTATCTATTTTATAAAAGACTGCCGTGTGGTGACGGCAAAGTGCAGTCTATGTGTCACCACGTCACCACCTCTACTCTCCCCCCGGGTGACGCGGGTGACGCGGGTGACGTAGCCCAGAGACTACACATTCAGAAGAGACCTGCGTTGTCCTGCGGATTGTGCTGCTATACTTGTGCGACAATGATTAATTATCTACTAGCTACTTCCGCGCGGCTTCACCCGCTCTGTCCGGTCCTTATTCCGTATTAATCATAGCGTGATTTTCAATAGCCTTCCTCGATGAATGGACTATCCAACACATTGTTTTTCAAATCGGACCCGAGATAAGCGCATTCAAACGAACAAACTTTTTAGCTTTGTATAGGTAATAGCAATAAAATAAGATTAACATTAATCTTATATCTTATACTACTATATAAAGCGGAAGAGTTTGTTTTTTTGTTTGTTTGTTTGAACGCGCTAATCTCCGTAACTACAAGTCTGATTTGAATAATTCTTTTTGTGTTGGATAGTGCATTTATCGAGAATGGCTATAGGCTATGAAACATCACGCTACGACTAATAGTAGCTGAGCAGAGCGTGCGAAACCGCGCGGAAGTAGCTAGTTATTCATAATATTAATTATAACTTATTTAAAATATAAGTTTAATTTCAACATTCAATTTGTCGAACTGATGTAAAAACATTACCTGTAAACATGTGCCAGTTTCCACGCCACCCTAGTATACACTGGGGACGTTCATAATAAATACATCTGCATATTACGGATATTTCAATTGTCTTATGTACTTTCATAATAAATAAATAACTATAAATCCATATTCAGCTGCAGCGCAGATCATGTGCGTTGCAATAGTAGATAATATATGAACATTATGTGGCAGGCCCATCCGCGGCATGTCGGCGGTGGTGATGGGCGCGGGCCCGGCGCACGCCTGCTTCTTCGCCACGTACGAGTACTGCAAGCACTCGCTGGCGCAGCTCACCCGGCACCGCCACGACCACATCACTCACGGTCAGTGTCGCCCGCGCGCCCCGCCCCCCCCTCGCCCGCCCGCTCACCGCGCTGTCTGTTGCAGGTCTGTCGGGCTGCATCGCGTCGCTGGTGCACGACGCGGTCTCCAACCCCGCCGAGGGTGAGTGTCCCACCCTTCCTTGCATGTTGTCCCTGCTGCCATCTACTGTCATTAGTCATTATCAACTCACGGTACTGAGCCTGTGTTAATGCTATTGTTGTGATACTCGGCTACAAATGTGAATACAGTTCAGTGGGCCAAGCTAGGCAGTTGCAGTATTGTACAGTAGCTCTTTCAAAGCGCTAAGTCGAGCTAGGGTTCACTCCGCCCCACTTCATTGACACAGGCGTCGATGTGTTACTCGTTTGCTTTAGTCAGCTGGCAAACGTTCTGCTCGGAGCTCGTATGACCTTGAGGCCAACTGTGGCTTGACAACTATTTCCTCTGATAATAAAACCATTGAAAATACCATCCCGCCGCAAATGTAGAACCCCGCATCATAGCAAAATTAGATTGTATAAATGTAAGTATTGACAGAATGTTCCTGAATCAATAAACTGAAACTCCAGCAATTGCTTGGGCATCGTCCAGTCCGTCTGTTCACGTCCCGAGCTCTGCTCTGTGGACTCCACGTGCACACGACCTCCATCTTCCCGTTGGTGTTGTCGTAAATCATTAGAGGTCAGCACAGTACGTCTCATTCTCACAAACATTTTTCCTTTTCAGACGTCATCTGTCACAAATTCTTTACATTTAAATTCGGCGCTATAGTCCTTTTGTGATTTGACAGTTCACGTGTAACATTTGGTATTTGAATTGAAGTTTCACTAGAGATATGGTGATTAAATCGTGTAAAAATATCGATTGAATTATCTAACCGATAAAATGTACATGCAAGAATGAATCGATTAGGCGTACAAAATGAAACGATTTATTATTTTCAATTCGGAGGCTACTAATCATCTTGCTCCTAATGGAGGCCCATCTTGCTCATAATTCCGTATGCTATACTTTATTACCCAAATTATATTATAATGGGCGTGACATTACGTACTGTCACATGTCATCCAATACCCATGAGATCCCAAAACGAGTATCACGTTTGTCACCCATGATTTGATTCCAAGAACATCCAAGCAGCCCCAGCAGCCATATGTTGAGCATGCGCAATGACTAACTCGGGCGGTGTGTGCAGTGGTGAAGCAGCGCATGCAGATGTTGCAGTCGCCGTACCGCGGCGTGTGGGAGTGCGCGCGCCACGTGTACCGCAGCGAGGGCGCGCGCGCCTTCTACCGCTCCTACGGCACGCAGGTCGCCATGAACGTGCCCTTCCAGGCGCTGCACTTCGCCACGTACGAGGCCTGCCAGGCGCGCCTCAACCCCGCGCGCGCCTACGACCCGCTGGCGCACGCGCTGGCGGGCGCGGCCGGGGGCGCGCTGGCCGCCGCCGCCACGACGCCGCTGGACGTGTGCAAGACCGTGCTGAACACGCAGGAGCGCGCCGCGCGCGCCGACGGGCTGCTGGACGCGGCCGCCACCGTGCTGCGCGCGTCCGGCCCGCGCGGCTTCTTCAAGGGCGTGCAGGCGCGCGTGCTGTACCAGATGCCGGCCGCCGCCATCTGCTGGCTGACGTACGAGACCTTCAAGCACGTGCTGGGCGGCGCCGGCGAGGACGCGCCGCCCGCGCCCGCGGCGCCGCCGCTGGCCTGCGCGGCGCTGCGCCTGGCGGCCGCCGACGTGCCGGCGTCGTAGGCGCGGTCGGCCGGGTGCCCGCTAGTCACGCCTTTGTTTCCGTTGTTTTGTAAATGATTCGTTACCGCAGTCCACGATTGCAGCTAGTACTCGCCGCCCGGACTCGGCTCCGGTCGGCTCGGGTTGACATCCTCGCGGATGTAAAATATGTTGGAGGTGCTATGTATAATGTATATTGTGATGGAGGGAACGGTTTGCCGCTCGACTCGTTGGGACGCGTCAAATTATGTTGTTGTTTGTGTAAATTACTATTATATTAATTGTATTTGTTGTATTTATGAGTTGTATATGTGAGTGATAAACTCGATTTAAATTGAGAGTTATAAACTACTATTTGTATAGTTAACGCGGCGAGCGACTGGCCTCGGTCGCCGCAAGCCGAGCTGTAAAATTGCAAAATGAAAAGAATATTATAAACAGTAAGTAATAAAGAGTTGGACAATACGCCGCTGTTTTATTGCGTTGTACGTCACTAGGGGGCAGTCGAGGGCTGCTGTAGGCCATGGTAACAGGGACCAGAGACCAGTATTCATATTTTACCAACTTCAATAAAAGTTGGAGGATCTAGGGGTATGAAGGTGCGTGGTAATTATTCTACGTCAGTAACAGGTATAAGTAGTAGTCTATTTGATTTCGTCGGCGGTATTTGCGAACCGATACGACCTTCAAACCTTCAAGAAAAGAGCGTATTCCTTTTTAAAAGGCCGGCAACGCACTTTTGACTCCTCTGGTGTTGCGGGTGTCCATGGGCGGCGCTGATCGCTTACCATCAGGTGATCCGCCTGCTCGTTTGCCTCCTATTCCATAAAAAAGGCCTCTGCGGGATTCCAGGGTGAGGCAAGAAGATACTGGTGGCCTACAAGTGGAACAGGTACTACAGCGATTTTTAGTAAAAAGTATTTTCGGGGTTGCTGCACGAATATGTAATAGATTACCCAACGACGACACTACACTTACATCTTTAAATAAAAAAAAAATAAACACGACTTTACGGTGTAACTGTAGGGCCGATGGTTGAAATTAGCTTTAACCGATATTATCAATGTAAAAATATGCGAGTATGTGTTTGTGTGTGTGTGTGTTACTCAGTCACATCAAAACGGCTGCAGGAACCGGGATGGAATTTGGAGCAGTGGTAGATTATGGTCTGGAGTAATACATAGGCTACTTTCTACCCCCGGGAACGCGGGCGAACCTGCAGGCAGAAGCTAGTAATTTATATTTTGTATTTTGATTTTCGGTTTTTTAATACGTACTCGTCGGACGTGAGACGTCTTCGGAAATGACATTTTGTCTTTGTTGTTTAAGGTTTTAAATAGTGAATATTGAACAAGTTATCATTACTATTAAACATCTTTATACCAAAAAAAATTCCAAAAATATATTGTGATCGGTTATTATGCAACGATGTACTCCGTGCTGTGTCCACGATGGTGCGGAACTGTTTTCGTAGGTCGCGGGCGAGCTAGCGCTTGGCGACCAGCCCGTAGTAGGCGGCCAGGCCCAGCAGCGGCGCCGCCGTCGGGTCGTCCGGCAGGTCGCCCGCGCTGGCCGCCACGTCCAGGTGCGCGTACGGCACGTCGCCGGCCTCCAGCCCCGCCGCCAGCAGCAGGAAGGCGGCCGGCGCCTGGTGACCGCGCGGCAGCGACACCGACGCCGCGCTCTCCGCCTGGTGCAGCTGGTCGCGGCCGCGCCCCGCGTGCGCCGCCAGGTCCTCGCGCCGCAGCACGGACAGCTCCACCATGTCGCCCAGGCGCTCGGCGGCGGCGCGGAAGGCGGCGGCGTGGCCGCGCGCGGCGTGCGAGTCCAGCACGGCCGTGTAGCCGCGGCCGTAGGCGCGCGCCGCGTGCCCCGTCAGCGTGGCCACCGTGTACAGCATGGGCGCGCGCTCCGCCGCCGCGCGCGCCGCCAGCTCCGCCAGCAGGTCGGCCATGACGAGGCGGCCCTCGGCGTCCGTGTTGCCCACGCGCACGGCCAGCCCGCGCCGGCTGCGCAGCAGTTCGTCGGCCACGTAGGCCTCCTCGCCCACGGAGTTGCGCACCATGCCCAGCGACGCCACCACCTTCAGCGCCGGCCGCAGCTCGTCGCAGACCTGCGTTGGTCATTGCGCGTCACACGGACGAATCGATATACTAACGCACGATGTCCACGCGACCAAAAATATTAGTACGATACCACACACTCCGTCTTAGCTCAGCACGGGAAGACGAATTGTGTTGAAAGGTAAAGTAAGAAATAGAAGAAAATACAATGCGTCAATTTTCCCCCAATTACGAAGTCTGGCCATCGTTCGTGCCATGGATTTATACTACATGTCGAGTCAATCGGTTCACAGGAAGTGATACAATTTCTAAACAAGATCTATCCATTATGGTATGGTCCAACTGACCTTAAGGAAGCCGACGATAGCGGCGGCGCCACACTTGTCGCGCGACATGCCCGCCATGACGCCGCCCGCCTTGATGTCGCAGCCGCCCGTGTCGTACGTCACGCCCTGCGGACCAATCGCACGCCGCGTCACTACACCGCCACACACACACACACACACACACTCGCGCGCGCTCACCTTGCCCACCAGCATCACGGTGCGCTCGTAGCTGTCGGGCTCGTACTCCAGGAAGATGACGCAACCTGCAACACAAGCACACGTGAGACGGGGCGGGGCGGGGCGTGGCGGGGCGCGGCGGGGCGGTACGCACCGCGGTGGCGCGGCACGGAGGCGGCGGCGCGGTCCACGGCGGCCAGCAGCGGGTAGTGGTGCTCGAGCTGCGCGCGCTGGTCCATGACGCGCACGCGCACGGCGGACGCGGCCCCGAACAGCGCGCGCACGTAGTCCGCCGTGCGCAGCGGCGTCATGCGCTCGGGGTCGGCGCCGCCGATGTCGCGCGCCGCGGCCCTGTAACGCGACCGTGCAGCGCGGTTAGCGGCTGTGTCAGCGATTCGAGTATATTACATAAAAAAATGCTACCTAAGTCAGTATTTCACGGAGCGCAAACGCAGTCGTGGAAAGAAAGTACATTGAATATTGGCTGTGGCTGCCTCACCTGCCCGCTTCCAGCGCCACGGCTTCCCGCAGCAGGTCGTCGACAGAGCCCTGCAGCCCCTCCGAGTACACGCCGAGAGCCGTCACCTTGTGCGCCAGCTCAGGAAATGTCTCTCGGACTTGCAGCGGCTGCCCCATACATTACATTTACTCCAGTAGTATACATACATACAACCAATATACATAGTACTGTAACTTGGCAAAATTTTATTGGGGTTAGTTCGCGCATTGTTTTCTTACTTGGGCCGGAGAATGTCTCTTGCTCACATTGCCGGGCAAATCCTGAGTATTGTACTGAAGTGGATACAAAAACATATTACGAATGACCAGGCGGCCATCTACCAAGGAGCATGGATTTCTATTCCTATAGCATTATGGATACCGTATGCAACTGTCAGTGTTTATTTATCTTCGATTTATCATATTCACCACTGACAACTGTGTTGATATATATGGAAAGTTTTTGTAATCCTAATATTACTAGCAGCGTCGAGCGTGCAGCAAGCATTGCACTCGCATGTCTGAGGGCTTATTACTCGAGTGTTAAAGCGAGTCCGGCGCTCTGATTGGCCGGCCCATCACAGCGCCGAACGCGTACTCGTTTCAATTACTTTAAACGTAAAACAAACTCGTACTAAGGCCTCTGTACTCTGTGTGTGTCTCACGGATCCATGGATGGATGTGTTTTGTGGTTTTTATCGATTCACCATTCCCTCGCGAGTACTTCACGTGCCACTTAAATATTTCGAAAGTTGGCTGCCAACTATATTTTTCTCTAATAGTAATTCAATACAATACTATAGTCCATCTGTTTAGGTAATTAACTAAAGGTAAACAAAGAAAACCACGTGACACAGAGATACTTAACCTACTATTACTTCAAATATTTCTCGTGCTTTAATTTTAACTAAATTCACTTTAAACTCGTTCATTTGTCATACACACATATACAACTACAAATGCCTAAATCGTACAAGAGCCTTGCCTATGGGTCTATTTCATTATCATGTTTAAATAGAAACTATTCTGAATCTGATGTACGGATTTCTTTCTTGTACGGATATGTGTCTTTGGGCCAAGTTTCTTCAATATATTTGAACACATTAATTACAAACGATGAATAACCTAAACTTGAATAACTTAATAACAAAAACAAAACAAAGAAACAAGATAAATTCAACAAAATAGGAACGCGAGCGCAAACGACGAGAGAGCTGTCAATGGCGCCTGATTAACCGACTAAACGTAATAGACGCTACTTTCATTGTCGCGCTACATCTTAGTTGTACTCTTTAATTTTGCAACATTATTTTGCTTCGTTCTTAAAGAAAAGTTTTGGATACCTGGGATTTTAGGCTCTTTATGGTGTCTATTGCAATTAAATGTTATACTATTTAATAAATGTTATTAAATTAATATCCTCAAGCAGATATATATAATATTTACTAAGAAATAAGTGAAAAGGAACAGAAACATAACATTTAATAGAGAAAACTGTCGTAAAAAGGGAAACAATTTTATTTTCTTATGAAGTATTTTGAATCATGGAAATGTCAACTATAAAGAACTCTTTTTATGGTTTGTTTACAAATAGTTAACTACCTAAACAGACGGAGTATAAGTAATACAATAATAGTTCGATTGCCTCCGAGCAGTGTTAAATTAAATAAGGCAACTCGGTACTCACGACGTAGAGCAACTCGAGCGCGGCCAGCAGCGCCACGAGCGGCGCGTCCGGCCAGCGCGGCAGCGGCTGCAGCACTAGCGCCGGGCGGCGCGCGCCCGCCGCCAGCGCCCGCGCCAGCCCCGCGCGCGCCGCGTCGCGCACGGCGCGCACGTCCTCGTACTCGCCCAGCGGACCCGTGGGCGCCAGCACGAGGCGGGCGCCCGACACGCGCGCGCACTGCAGCAGCGCGGGCGTGCGGTCCAGCTCGGCGTCCAGTTGGCGCGCGGCCGCCACGAAGTCCTCCAGCGCCTGCGGCGGCACCAGGCCGGGCGCCGTCACCAGGACGAGCGCGTCGTAGTGCTCGCTGTTGACCTCGCCCACGGCCGCCACGCGCACGCCGTTCACCTCGCGCTCCACGCCCATCTCGCTGTCTCGAAAGGTGGTTCTACATATAATTTGTACTGCCTTATTGGTTGGGCAGATACTTTAACAATCTTTGTAAGGAATATGACATCGAACCGTTTATGACTTGGGTGAACTCGGCAAAGAGTTGCTTAGCCTCAATTTTTTTAAGCAGCTATAGATATTTAGCTTTTATATCTTTCTGTTTGTAATGATATTGTCTGCACGGTCTGTTTCAGTATTTCGCTGTTCCATTTACTCAGAATATATGACATGTATTTTTAAATAATTCAATCGAAATACTACTTAAACGGGAGGACTAGTAATTGGCCCATTGATACCTACGCCAATTGTAATTTTTATCCGTTTTTATAAACTGTAAGTCCTCCAAGAATTATAAATAAATTTTATTTATTATATAAATAAGCTCTTCTCTGCCGGTATAAAAGACACAATGTGTCTCGCATGAATGTATACCATTGGTTACACCTTTGATTTTGTAACTGAACCAGGACACGATGAGATATTTTATTTAGCCAATGGGCGTTGTAGTATGGCTATATGTATTGATCATGTGTAATCTGTTGAGACAGTAATAAATCGTACTGAATTGACGACACGTGTTTCATTGATCTTTACGAACCAACTGGAACTGAATTCTCATTTCAAATTAATGTTATTTTAAATAGCTAGGCATGTCTTGGTGGTGCGGGTTCGAAACCTACCAACAGCAAGTACCAATGTGACTTTTTCAGAGTTATGTAGGTACTTACTTTCTAAGATTACCTGGACACCAATGACTAACGGTGAAGGAAAACATTGTGAGGAAACATATAACATCACGCGTTGTATCCCCGAAGGGGTAGGCAGAAGTGCACATTATGCCACTGTACAATGTAACACCCACTTTTCACTATTTATGTTATGAGTCCCATGTAATAGGGGGTGACCCTATTGTCATATACCGGGCACAATTCCAGACACGGAGTCTGTCTCTCACGGAGCAACTACTGAGAATTGTTTTAACTCGTCGAGTACCGGTTTTATAGACACAATTAAAGAACAATGGGTCGCGGTCACCGGTGACCGCTTGGTTTTTGACAGTTTAAAACCCAGTAATACATTGCTCAGCAGTGGGCACTTACACGCTGTTGATGATGTTATTTTAAAAACATGGAATGTGTTTTCTCCAAAAGTAATCATTTGTTTATTTATTAGTGTTACATTTTCATCGCATTTAAGGGCTCGTACACAGAACTGCGATGCGACGTCGCACCGCAGTTTTGTGTACGAGCCCTCAATCTTGTTCGTTACTATGGATACGTTACAAAATCGAGTACTTATGGAACATGAGTACCATCGTGGCAGTGATGCGGCACAAGCGCAGGCAACTTCAACGACGGTTACGGAGCATATCGACGCCCCACTTGTTATTGGTTTGTTCGCTTCCGTTCTGGAAATTTCGACCTGAAAAATGAACCTCGCGGTCCTTTGAAGACTTTGGTCGACAGTGACGAATTAAAAGCGATTGTGGAAGCTGATGATACACAATCTACGGCTGACTTAGCAGCAGCTTTCGACGTTAAAATAGCTTGACAAATGGGTGCCCCACGAACTCGATTATAGCCGGGCTATAATTGAACGCGATTTTGAACTGCATTGTTACCTGCGATGAAAAATGGATCGTTTCATAACCGCAAGCGCACAGCAAGTTGGTCGGATCCTGGTTCAGCACCTAAAGAATGCCTTGAACGAGAACTTACCCCTAGAAAAGTGATGGTCACTGGTAGTTGGTGCTGATTGCCACTAGCGCCAGTGTGATTTATCACAGCTTCTTACCAAAATGGGTGAGCATTACTGCGGAAATGTACTGTGAAGAACTGAACACAATGATGGAGAAGTTGGCATATCTCAAACTAGCATTGGTCAATTGCTCGTGTCCGCTGCTCCTGCACAGCAGATGGTCTCCAAGTGGCAAGAACTGGGGTTGGAAGCTCTTCGTCATCCGCCCTACACACCAGACCTTGCGCCTACAGACTACTACTTTTTCCAGAATTTGGATAACTTCTTGGTGGGAAAAACTGTACTACCCGAGAGGCAGTACAAAATGCCTTTGAAGACTTTATTATCTCCTCTCCAGGTGATTTCTTTAAGAAGGGCATCAATAAATTGCCACTGTGTGGGCAACAATTCATTGATTGCATGGGTGATTACAAATAAAAAATACATGAAAAAAAATGTTTAAATTTTTTCATACAAAATGGCAATTGCAGAGGTTAAGACAAATAACATAATTAGAAATCTACTTAGCGCACCAGTTAGATGATAAAAATATATATATATATGTATAAGACACATTTGATTTGTTTTAGAAGAAAACACTACAGATTTAAATAGTTAAGTTGATCAGTGGGAGCTCTCTACATCATTGGCATCAACCAGTAGGTACCTATATCTGGCATGAACTGAATTGTGACACCAAATGACAAATCTATGCCAATACTTAGAACTTTTCAAAACATGACACACCTTCGCCTGAACCAAGACCTCCAGCCAAACAAACTGTATAAGGTACATAGAACCTAGCTAAACCACTCTGGATAATATTATGAGACAACTCTCACAACTCTCATTAACAAATGGTTTGTTCAAAGTAATTGTGCATGTAGGTATTCAAATAGTTTTCCAGCACATTCTCGGTCACATTTAACACGCACTACATATAAAATTTTCATAATCTGTCTATATTACTAAATATAAGGCTGCCATTTTGATTATGGGCTTCGTACTCAATACAATGAAACAGGTTGTTATTTGCTTACATCTCAGAATGCAGTTGTGAAGTTGTTGCAGTCAGGAGCCTGTCGAGACGGCTACTACGTTCAATTCAGCTAGTAACAAGTGTCGCTGTCGCAGTGGCTCGCGCTCGCTGATAGCTCGTATCTCTGCGCCTGTACTCCGCTTGCTGGGCGGCCGGCACCGTCTTATCACTAGTTACGCCTCCGTCGCTATGTGCATTTATGTGTTGATCTAATCAGTGTAGTGCCGTAAACAGTGTTTAATATAGCAGGCAATACACAATAACAATTACCGTGTCGGTTTAACGATTACTACCTTCTTTACGGCATTGATCCAATTTATAAAAAAACAGTTCTACAATACATCGAACAAAATATTTTCACTGTGTGTACTGTATAGTTAATATAATGTCAAATCAAAAGATTTAAGTCAGCTGTCCAGCTGATCAATTGACACTGACAAGTGACAGTAAAAAGTGAATAAAACGACAGTACTCGAAACTTGGAATCGAATTATTTTCGAATAATTCCAAGTTTGATATGAGATGAATACCTAGTCCGTCACAAATATTATTCTCCATCCCCTTGGCGATGCAAAGAATCTAACTAGCGCCCCTAGCCTCAGACACTGAGAGTTTTCCACGGAACAGAAAAAACTTTTTGTTCAACGAGTATTCTTTTTAAAAAATATAGAAAATTCAAAAGTGTACAGTGGTACACTTTTGAATTTTCTACGATTTTATTAAATGTATAGATAAGACATAGAATATATAGAAGGTTACAGCTCTTCTCCCGTAAATGATAGCGTGATAATATGTACTTGACCTATGTGTTGACTCGAACTGTTAGTAATATTCATGCAAAATTTGAAGTAAATCCAAGCAGTACTTTTTGAGGTCATATCCCGGACCTACATACAGACGAACAGACAATTGGACCATTAAGGGCCAATTCATTTAACACAAGTCACCAATGTTTCTAAAAGTTCAATTGAATGAATACCTTAAAAGTAAATAAATACATGACATAACATCACGCCTTTTTATCCCCGAAGTGGTAGGCAGAGGTGCACATTACGGCACTTAATGCCACTTTACAAAGTAACACCCACTTTTTACTATTTATGTTTCGAGTCCCATGTAATAGGGGGTGAGCCTATTGCCATATACCGGGCACAATTCCAGACTCCGTGCTACTAATGAGATTTTTTTAAATCCTAGTAATACTTTGTCCGACCCGGGAATCGAGCCCGAGACCCCTTGCCCGGCAGTCGCACTTGCCACCACTCGGCCAACGAGGCATATCACTGCTGAGTTTACTCAGATTTATCCGAGAGGGTTAATTGCTACACTGCTGATCTTTCCTCTTTCCATAAAGGAAGAAAATTTATTTGATTCATAATTTTGTCTTTTGGAAATAAATTAAAACATATTCCCGAATCTCCGTAAGTATTACATTGAGGAATGCAACAAAACTTTGAATTTCTGCCTTTATTAAAAATAGGTTTATGTATGTAATCGTGATCCATTTGATTATGTTTCAACTCGAAAGCAAGTGTTGTTCTTAGACAACTTCTAAATTTCGCCGCTAGAGGCCAATCGGTTAGACCCTTCCTGGCCTGCTGAGGGCTGTAGGTACTGGCTGTACAATACAATACGAATGCAAACTAGCACCATCGACATCCCTACGACGTCAATATCTTGCACTTTTGAAAGAAGCCCAAAAATGTATACTGGAGGCTGAGAAATGTACCTAAAAAAATATTCTAAATTATGTAGGTAACTAACTCCCTTAAAATAGAAGAAGTAGAAGAATTTAAACTTTTTCACAATTCTCATACGGATTAAACACACAGTGTGCTCTATCGACTATCTGCGTACTACACATATGCATATGCGTGGCTACGCTACGGAATCATTATGAGTAGCTGTAGACCATATTTTAAACGTGAACAAATACTAACCTTGCCGTCGTAGTAGTAGATACATATGTATATGCCGGAAAAACAAATTGATACCACCTGCACCTAAACTGCAAATAACATACGTACTTCTTCAAGTGCCTTCACCTAGAATGGAGTTATTTAGACGAGATTGTGTTTAGGTATATGGCTCCTCTAATTTATAATACGTTGCCTAAATCTATAACTGAACTTCTATATAAGAAATTTTGTAATGTATTACAGCAATGGCTAATTAAAGAAAATTACTACTCAATCCACGAATTAAAAAAACATATGTAAATCTTTTGATTTTAAAGAAAGAAATAAATAGGAGCAGGAAGTGTAGTTAATGTACCAAAATTGTAGCTTTCATATATTTTATTTTAAAGTAAAGTTTTATATGTATAATACATGCATATTGCACCCATGCGAAGCCGGGGCGGGTCGCTAGTAGTTAATAAACAAATCTTATTTTAGTATTCAGGAGTACCTTGATGATAAGAAAGAATGGTAACTATAATAATATCGTATCTGTGGCAGTCTGGTACGCTACGACTGCTACGACTCTCGGTTTTGATACATACATAACATTATCACGCCCTTTATCCTCGAAGGGGTAGGCAGATTTTGACGTATGACGATTCGTTATTTTTGTAAGGATGATTCAGTCCGATTCAATATTAGTTAGGGCTGGTATTGATGCTGTACATTTACACTCTCGCGCTAGTCGAGACGAGGCCGAGATACATTGTCGTTATTTAAAAAAAGTTTTAGTGCTTCTCGCGTCTTGAGACTGCAATGTACTTACCTCAACCTCGTGTCCGCCCGCGCGAGAGTATAAATGAAGCATAAAAATCAGAGCCGTGGACTCAAGCCTTCGTGCCCGGGCAACAGTATTATTAAGCCGAGCTCCAACCCTTTGCGCTGCGACGTACCATGGGTTTCATTTAGTGTGTACTTGGTGTGTACCTGTATTCTTGTCTACGTGTGTATCGTGGCGTAATAAATGCTTTTATTTTCAGCTGTTAATGCGTCCCTCTTTTTTACCAAGCTCTATGGTACTTTTTAAGATGTTTTTTTCGGTTACCTTACCTATCAAGTCTCTATGACTTTTCAGATACCTACAACCAAAGATTATAATAAGTATAGGGGCTACAACTGCTGGACACATAATTTGATTTTGCCTACCGAAACTCTCTAATATTAAGTTCAAGTGTATTCCATATTCTCTTTTTAATTGTATTCAGTGTATACGCCGCTGCTACTGCTTTTTTCTTGAAAGTATTTTTTATAATATTCTTCGCAACCCTTGCAGTTCGCCGAATGGGCACCAATGGACATATTTTGCTAGGGTTGATGCTGTAATATGCCCTTGAACTCATTTGACGCAGCGGTATGGCTGATTGGTAGTGGATGTGTCTGAGGGTCTTTACCGCTATAATGTTCGAGCAGCACAGCACTACAATAAACTGTAGAGTAGCAAAGAATGTCGAGGTAGGTTTCCTTTTGCGACCATGCTTTACGTTTATTATCTCTCCAATCAATCCAATAATTACGGATGGTGGAAGTTTTTAATTACAATCCTAAAAGGTCTCTTATCTTTCCTATTAAACGTATGTCTAATAACTCCTCTATCTCTGATAACAAAGAATGGATTTATTGGCTCTATATGAATAGTGAATGCGAATAGTTGATTTTGATTTATTATTCTGTAGGTAGGTCTTTACTGTCAGCACCCCTTTGCAGGAGCTCCAGCAAGTTGGTGAGGTTTTCAATTTCGTACAAAATTATGGGAGACAGTTTGGCGACTTTTCTTGAGGCTCCTTTTTCGGCACTTTCTTCTGGATCAACTGAATACATTTCTAACGGTAACTGGGTAGTTGACAGTGACAGGGTATGAAAATTATAATTTGGTTAGTCCGACACCTAGAAACTAAATAAGCTGTAGCCGCACCGCACGACTACATACCTACCAGTTACCAGTACCACCGAATACCTTTCCATATACCAGATACCTTCCACAATACCTTTACCAAAGTTATAGACTCACTCCGTTTAAAGAAACAAGAAACCAATTGTCTTGAAAAAGACAGTTTACGTTTTGACTCCGTTTTAAGAAACCAGAAACCAATTGTCTTGAAAAAGACAGTTTTCGACTTTCTTGCATAGAAACGATAATCATGACTGCGGCAACAGCGTTATCACACCGTGCCGCGAGCGATCGCTTCGAAAGAAGCGGTTTGGTGAAGCAAGCAGCCAAGCAGCGCAAGCGGAGCCGGAGCCGGAGGCCGGAGTACTTGCATTCATCTTCATTCTTCATTCATCTGTAGGTAGTCTTCAGTCTTCACTCGACGCCGGCTCTCGGAGAAATGCGCGCGCTCGCGCCGCGCGGTCATACTTATACGGAAGGAACCGATAGTGCCGTGTGCAAAGCGGCGCCCCGCACCCCGCGCACGCCGGCGCGCCGCTATTGGTCGAAACTATCACCTAACTATATCGGATCTTGTCTAGTTGTAAATATGTAAATAGAAATATAAGTAGCGTAGTTTGGCGAAATAAAATCATTCTTGTCAACACCTCTCATCGGAGTTTTACTACTACTAGAAGATAAGAAGAAACCTCCTCTAGGACACTAGGCTCTCCTACCTAGCTCCTAAATTGGTGACCCCGACGCTGCCAACGGATCTCTGCAAGAATCAATCAATCGCCACCTAGTACTACAGAAAATCAAGCTCGTCGTAATGTCCAACTCCAACGAAAAAACGCCGGAACTCTCCAGCGTGTCGACGTCACTGCGCATCCCACCCATATGGCGCGACAGAATACGCCTATGGTTTGCGCAGTTCGAGGCGATTATGTCTCCGCAGAAAAAGGGCGACCAAGCCATGTTTGAGCTTGTCGTCGGTCATCTCGAAAGACAAGACCTCGATGAAATATCCGACATTATCCTTCATCCTCCGGAGAGAGACCGCTACGAAACCCTCAAAAACAGACTACTCCAGGTCTATGAGGAGTCTGAACAGCGTCAAGTTCAACGCCTTCTCTCCGAGATGGAGCTCGGCGACTTAAAACCATTACAGTTACTTCGCCGGATGAAGAATCTCGCCGCGGATAATATATCTGACGCTGCGCTTTGTATTATGTGGACAAACCACCTCCCCCAGTCCGTGCGCGCAGTCCTCGCTGTCAGCGACAACATCGCTAAACACTCGGACATCCACGATCTAGCGATGATGGCTGAAAAAATACTCGAACAGACGCAACCTCATGGCACAGTCGCTGCTGTGACTGAAAACCCCGTTTTCCCCCGTGTACCTACAAGTATTGAAGACAAAATCGATATGCTTACGAGGGAAATCGCCGAACTCAAAGCAGCACAATCTAACCATCGTTGCAACCGTCAGTCGAGACGACCTCAGAACAGATCGCGATCATCGAACCGATATCGCTCCCAGTCCAGACAGCGCGATAACACTCCACGCCGCACGGAATCTTCTGGAATTTGTTATTACCACCGCAAGTTCGGGAAGGAGGCACAGCGATGCACACGTCCGTGTAATTTCCAGAACAACAACACCCGTCCGGAAAACTAAAAGGTGCGTTGGATGAGGCGGGAACCGGCGCAACAACTACGTCATACCGCCTGTTTATAACAGACAGAAACTCACGTCTGTCATTTCTAATTGATACTGGCGCAAACGTCTCCGTCAT